TATGCCATCTGCTGGTCCCCAAAGCAGAATTTTTCTTAAGCCCTATCTTTTGCTTTCTTCAGCTCTGAAATCACATTTCCTAATTTCATATGTGTTTTCTCCCTTTCACCATCTTCCATTGCTAAATCTACTGAATGCTATTCTCTCTCTCTCTCTTTCTCTCTTTTTTACTTTTGGCATTGTTGAACATGCGTAAGTTTCTTAAAATCCTTTCATCATTGGGAACCAGCAGTTAGCATAATGGCTATGTCGCTGGACTCCCACGTAGTCGACTGCGGTTTGCGTCCCGGACCCAGTGGCTTAAAACTCACCCTGGGCGTGTGTGCGTGCATGCCCAAGATCCCGAGAGGAGAATGGAGGAGAAGGGATTGCGGCGTGACCATCCCCGCTGGGGTGTGATTTCTCGCTTTCTGTCTCTATGTCTCTCTCTGTCTGGCGAGCGCACGCGCCCTACAGTGAAAATCTCTCCAAAAAAAAAAAAATACTTTCATCATTTGGGTCATCTGATGAGAATGTTTTCTCCTGGAAGGTTTTGACATGGAGAGTACCATGATCAGATTGCTACTTTAGAAAAATTACTCAAAATGACACAAGAGCACTTTCAGGGTGCCTGGTACATAACACACATTGAGTGTTAGCTGCTATTACTGTTGGTTGTCGTTCTCTGTGTTCCATAGTATCCTGTGCACACCTCTGTGACCTCATGCACTACACTGTGGTGTTATCTTTGCCTTCTTTGTCCAATAAACTCCTTGAAGCCAGAGATCTACTCTTCGTGGATGGATGTCTGGTTCCTATTTACTTCTGTAAACATGATCCTATTTTATTTGTCTTCAGGTAGGGCCTTGTGACTGCCTGTGGATGATGAAATGTGAACAGAAGTGGTTTATGTATTTCTAAGTAGAGAGCATTTACTTGCCAGTCATGGGCCAAATATTTTTACTTGCCAAAATTTGTTTGGTGAAGCCCTAACCTCCAGTGTGACTATATTTGGAGTTAATCTTTAAGTAGGGTGATAAAGGTTAAGTAAGCCAGATGGGTGGAGACCTAAGCTGATAGGACTGATGTCTTTATAAGGAGAGAAAGAGACATCAAATCCTTCTCTCTCTCTCTCTCTCCACATTGAAGAAGTCATGTGAGGATCCAGTGAGAAGGCAACTTTCTCCAAGCTGGGGAAAGACACTTCTTACTAGAAACTAACCCTGAAGGCACTTTGATCTTGGACTTTTAGCCTAGGGAACTGTAACAAAGTAAACTCAGTTGTTTAAGCTGCCCAGTCTGTGGTATTTGTTATGGCAGCTCAGACTGACTACTGTACCAGTGTTTAACCCTTCATTGTGTTCCTCATTTGCACAGTCAATGTGGAATTGCACATTGATATGACAATGCAATGCCAAACCACTACACAGAGGACAGTGGCTCCAGAGAATCTCCTATATCTGCAGCAGATTTTAGATGGGTGATACATAAATCTTCATTATTTTAAAACACTGAGATTTTGGGGGGTTATTTGTTATAAAGGAAAAGCTTAGCCTAATATGTCTAAAACAGACTGTTTTCCTAGAGCCCAATGCCATGTTTAGCCCATACAGGACATTAATAAATGGAGTGGAAAGCATGAGTAAATAAAGAACAGTAAAAACAAAGACAAACAAAAAAACCAGAAAGCCGTTTCCTTGTATTTATGTGTTGGAGTCTTGGCTGATTAGTTCAGTAGCTAGAAATCTTTTACATTTCTGTGGCATTAACAAAAGGCTTGCAAAGCTTTGACCCTGTCTGATCCTACATGCCCTTCTTAGAGATAGGTGTCTGGGGAACTGAGGCTCAGAAGTGTTCCATGATGCAGAACTCTTGATCCTGGTCAGGGCTTTGTCCTTTGTCCCTAATGTCTACAAATAGGGTTGAACTTGTAGACCGTAGCTGCATTGCTGCATCTGTCACCAGGGGGCCTGGCCATAGTGTCTGTCTGTGCCAGACCCTTGTGCTAAACCAATTCTTGGCAAGAGAGCCTGGAGCACATGTCCTAATAATGGAAATACTGAGATTCATGCCCAAAGGCCAGCAACACACTCACATACGTTCTTTTGTTCTTTCTCTCTTTCTCACATATTTTTGCATGCAGCTCTGTAAGACTTCTAGCTATATACATGCCTCCATGTATGTACTCATATGTATGCCTGCCCACACACATATATAGACATTCTCATACTTACATACTGATGCACATTTAAATACTCTTATTTATTCACACACATTCATATAAACATATACTCACATGCACATGCATATACATACATGTAAATATACTGACTCAGAAGCTGAGACATATTGAAATCTCTTTGTATATCCACACAGAAATACATAAATAAAAATAATATACTAAGTATTCATTCCTAAGTGTTTTCACATATCCTACACACACACACACACACACACATGCATAGTGTATGCATATGATCACTTACATGTTTCCACACATACATATGTAAATACAGAAATACATGTACTGATATCCACACATGATCATGCGTATTTCTATTTCTCTTTGAGGTTACATGTCTAAATATTTTTAAACTAGCATATACACATACACATGACTGCGTGTGCATCTGCACTGTCCCATAGTCCCACAATATAGACCTGCATATTTTTTTTTTTGGAGAGGTTTTTGCTATAGTGTGCCTGCGCTCACCAGAAAGAGAGAGACAGAGAGATAGAAAGTGAAAAATCACCCCCCAAGGGGGATGACCATGCCACAATCCCTTCTCCTCCATTCTCCTCTCAGGATCTTGGGCACGCACGCACATGTGCCCGTTGTGAGTTTAAACCACCGGGTCCAGGGCTTGAACCGCAGTTGGCTACATGGGAGTTCAGCAACATAGCCATTACATTAACTGCTGGTCTCAATACCTATATATTCTTACTGCACGAATACATAGATGCTGCAGACATGTTTACATACACTCACAAGTACATGTTTTCAGACAAGTTATTAGGCACCCTCTGGGTTCTAGTTCTAGTTCTTTCTCTTGTGGACTGCAGAGAAGTTTAGATCGGGACTCCCTTTCCTCTTCTTCCTTGTCCATTCCTG